ATGTGAATTTTTGGGATTTTGCATTACATAAGATATTATTGCAATGATTTCAATGGAAAAACATTACTTTTTACCAAAAAATTGTGAAGTAGGGGCCTTCCTATTACATTTGGTATATATAAACATAATATATAAATGTATATGAAGTTAACGAACAGTATTCAGCTCAAAAGTCCATCAAACAATGCAAAATAGGGGCAGAGCAAACATGGACCTCCAAACATCAGAGGTGGGATCAGGTGCCATGGAGGAATGAGCATCCCCTGCCGACCGGTCACACCCGCCGTGTGCTCCTTGTCATGATCGTCATGCATATAAAAACATAGACATGTAGACAAAGACATAATTTACAAATGTCATTTAAGTTTACATAATCTTAATAAAAGTGTGTTAATCTCTGATCATGTATTTATCCTTTTTTTGGCATTTTTGTGTTTTTACGACAAAATGTCACGATGCGTAAAGTTGTGATTTAAATTATTTTCCATCAAAAAGTATGTCTTCTGTATACATTGCATTGAATGTCATATGGTAAAGAAATATTGTTTAAAAACTTGAAAAAAATAGTTACGTTGAGCAGTGATAGTTTTTTTTTTTTTTTTTTTTTTTTTTTTTTGAATTGACATTTTCTGAATTTGTGCAAATAAACATCACATGAAAGTCAAATGTTGGTTGATGTAGACATGTGTATCCATACTGGGATAAACATATACTGCTCCTTTTTGGTAAATTTCAGTTTCCAGAGATGTACTGCTTTAAAATTTTATGGATAACTCTGCTTTATATCCCTGTGCTAACTAAGAAATGGATTTTGTTTTGTTTTTTAATTATAAAGCAATTGCATTGGGCATTCATTAAATATGCGAATCTTACATTTTTAGAAGGTAATGAGCTAATTTGGTTCTATTCCCTATTTTTTTTTTACAATACGTTAAGCAATTTATGTGCAGTAGTTCAGGTTTCATTTACGTTTCTTAAATTAATACATTTCTATCCCGATTTAAAATGCCCACTTTATATTTTTTAATCGTTTCGCAAACAACTTTCTTTGTTTTTGTTCATATATGTTCTTGTTCATCTTGTTCATATATAAAGCCGAATCGGTGAGAGACAACTTGCCGAGCTAGCTAGCTATATTTTCCTATTATATCCGTCTGTGTTTTGTCCCTAACATATGCTTCTTTAAATTAGATTATTTGTGTTTGGGAACATGATATTAGATTTATAGACTTAAATCCATAGGTGTTTGTTAATATCATTGTTATATTGGTTTAAGGATTTGTACAATTAATTTCATTTATATTTCAGATGACCAATATTTCCAAGGTATAATTTGATGCAGAGTTCTAACTCAGAGCGTGGTCACCCTAACAAAAAAATACTATAGTAAACTATAGCTAACTATAGTTTACTATAGCATACCAAAGTAAAAACTTTGGAACTTTGATTTACTATAGTGAAAACTTTGGAATTTTGATTTACTATAGTGAAAACTTTGGAACTTTGATTTACTACTGTGAAAACTTTGGAACTTTGATTTACTATAGTAAAAACTTTGGAACTTTGATTTACTATAGTGAAAACTTTGGAACTTTGATTTACTATAGTAAAAAATTTGGAACTTTGATTAAGTACGATAAACCCCGTGGAATTATGTTTTTGATTCCCATTCTTTACATTTTATGATATTTCAAGTTTAAGATTCATAAAAGCTTTAGAGAACATTTTAAAAACCCGACCCCTCCCCTAAAAGAATAATGTACAAGATATGAATTTTAATGTAAAGGTTGTCGCCTGCGCCGATAAATAAGCAATATTTATTTCATTGTATTTAATTTTAATGTTATGCAGATGTTACGTAAGTCTTATTTATGGAGAAAAAATAATATATTATGAAAAAATTTTGTCAGTTAGAATCAAAATATCTGCTTATCAACATCAGTCCTCATGGATTTTTTTTCTTAAATTCATAAATGTAAATATTGCATTTGAATTAACTTCTTTGTGTATTTAAATAAAGATGTACAACAAAAACCAGGCCCAACCAATCCCATATCCAGCCCTCCCCTAAAACGGCTAAATAATCCAAAAAAAAAAAAATACATAAGTTGTTAAACTAATGAAAAAACTTTGAAACTTTGATTAAGTATAGGGAAAACTTTGAAACTTTAATTAACCATAGTGAAAACTTTGGAACTTTGATTTACTATTGTGAAAACTTTGGAACTTTGATTTACTATAGTAAAAACTTTGGAACTTTGATTTACTATAGTAAAAACTTTGGAACTTTGATTTACTATAGTGAAAACTTTGGAACTTTGATTTACTATAGTTAACTATAGTAAACTATAGTTAACTATAGTTTACTATAGTATTTTTTTGTTAGGGCATGCACCAAAATTAATAATAAAATTTACAAAAATATAGATATTTAAAAAAAATATGAACACAACGCGAAGTATAGGCTTTATGGCCACCAGACCTGCTACATACAAATATGCTGTTCCAAGCAAATATGATGTTCCAAGCAAACAGGATTTAGTTAGGAGGCTCCTACATATCTTACAATGTTTTACCATATTCTAACATCGTAAACATATAAGTTACACTCTTTTATTACATTTTCAACAGTGAAATACTGTGATTTATTTATTGAATAAAAGTGATATTCTCTCACATTGTGAAAGAATACCAAAATGATATTCTCTCACAGTGTGAAAGGATATCAAAGTAAGTAAAAAATAATTTCTGGCCTGTCATAAGATAGAGATAGTAATTAAACATCATAATAGAGCTAAAACTGCAATTTTCTTTCCGAATATGTCGTTAAAATCCATGCTTTGTAATGTTTTCAATCTCACAACTGCTAAGCTATGACGTCTCAACCGCTCAACTATGACGTCAAGCCTAGCTATGACACTGTGTTAAGAAAAGACAGAGGCAAAGGGAAAATCAAAGAAAATGTAATAAACAGAAAATTTAATGTTTTGTAGATGAATATGGAATTTATTTCACTCGTGAGACAGGATTTTTGATATTTTCACTCGTGCTTCGCACTCGTGAAAATATAAAAAAATCCTGTCCCACTCGTGAAATAAATTCCATATTCATCTACAAAACATTGAATATCCTCTGTGTACATGTATGTATACGAGGGGTTATCAAAAGGTTCGTGGACTAGCGCCATAAAATTAAAACCGTGTTAGGTACATCAATGAATTTTAACACATTTAGTTAGCATCTTCTTTTCTATCTATAGAATAAACCATAAATCATTAGTTTTATCTTTTAATAAATTGTTAATGTCTTTGAGCGTAATGGTATGTCCAGGCGGCGCAACTTCAAATATGACGTTTTTTCTACCTGATTGTAACTGAGAAAAACTCTCTCGATATGAGCATTTGTCATAAAAATCTCGTTAATTCAAGAGTGCGGTAGGACACAATTGTTCCGTACAAAATGCAATTTTTACCCCATACATGTAAGTTCTATGAAATTTTATCTTCTTTTTTTTATGGAGTGTCCAAACAATTAGGGGCTTGAAAATGACTTCAAAAGGGGGAGGGGTTTCTTTTTCCAACGTTCTATAACGTTTCGCACCTGGAAAAACTGGTATAGACCCAGGAAATGTTTAAATGGACTACAGACAAATAAAATGCATCCAGAGTACTTTTTTAAAATGCCCAAAAAAAAATTCAGAGAGATGAAAGATGCACAGTTAATGTCGATTTGTAGTCAGGGTGTCAAAAGTTAGTCAAGTCGAAAAGTGGCGTTCTTATGTGTTTTAGAAATTGAAATCCGATAAGGTAAGTATTCTGGCATAATCAAGTGAGGATCTCTCCCTATGTATAGATCCATTTACAATATCATATGCATTGAAAGCAGCTGTTTATGACATTGTAAAGTCATATAAACAAAACGGGCTTAAGTCCTTACTTAACTCCAGGTATTCTCATCAAGATAAGTGTATGATGTAGGGAGAGCGGACATTGAGAAACAATGACGTTGTCGGGCGTCATGAAATTGAACAGCGACAGTGCCGGGTGATCATATAATGTCTTTTTTATTTTAGAATAATTTGGAAGATTATCAACATATCAAGCTTAAATTTTCAACATTTCTTAAACTTTTGTTTTTTATATTCCTTATAAATTTTGTAAACATAGACTACATAGTATTAATTTTATAGCATCAGTCCACGAACTTTTCGATAACCCCTCGTACTTATGTTCATTATTTATTATCTAGATTTCACTCATATGGTGACGTCTCATATGATGAATAAATCTCTTAATAGAGTAAAACAACAAACTATCAATAAATCTACTGAATATTTTTTTTGATGACGTGAACTAGCCTCTGTTAGAAGATTTCCCCTACTTTTACCAATGTAAAACTTTGACCTCCTACTGTGGCTACATTCTAATACGTTTTAGAGATTGTGTTTCGAGCAAATTTAAATATTAATTACATGCATATGAGATTAAATATATAAATATTAACATTTTAACCCCCTATCTTTGTTAGATTTTTAAAAAGTTTCCATGTCATACTTTGACCCACTGTTGTGGATTCATCTAGTCTAGTTTCATCCTAGTCTAAGTAGAAATAGCGTTTTGCCTTTTCTGAAGTGACGAATCCGATATTTTTCTGTAAACAGTCAGTACCACATTAAGTATGAATTTAATTACATTAATGTTAATTGTGACATCTTTTTACAAGTGCCAAACTATATTCACACTATGTTATCAACAAACCACTATTAATTAAAAGACAAACTCTCTAATAAAAATAAATAAATAAATAAACAATTTCAAGCACAGACATTATTGAAATATTTATAATCCTCACTCAGGCAGCATTGAAATATACATCTAGATAGTGGAAGGATTTTATCAGAAAGGGTCGATACTAGACCACACGGGTATTTTCTGATAAGGGATTTAAATCACCGCCATATTCAAACAGCATACAAGGAAGTGTCAGAAAGTGTGAATAACATGGTGGAATACAACAAATATATACTCCGTATTTTGTTTTTGTTAACATTGCATAGTGAGTACATATATATTTTTTCCCCAAGTTTAATACACTATATGCGTCTCTGTCAGTGTTGCCAGCAGTACTTATTTTTAATATGGGTATTGATTTTTAGATAAGGACCCTGGAACTTTTCATTTCTATTTATATCATTTAAAATGTATAGCAAAACTGGCTCTCCGAAATAAATATAACTGATTTCTTTTAGTTTGAAAAATCCTTAAAGTATTCTCCGAAATATCGGTATATATTTGAAAAAAAAAAAAATCCAGAGTTGGCTCAATAGTGCTGGCAAACAAATCTTTTGCTTGTTGTTTTTTTCTATCTCCCTGTGAGATTCATTTACTAAAATGCATAGATTCCACTGAACACGCAGATGAACAAAAATGGTACATTTGTAAGCAGGTGGTTACATGTTTCTATTGGTTAAAGCTACAATAGCAAGAAGGTATGTTAAAGGGTATTCAGTGTCGCATGTTACTTGGTATGTTATCTTATTTACCTTTAACTGTAAATTTGGTTAATGTATAACATGTTGTATCCATCGTCTTGCAGAGAACGTGGAAGCTTCCTGCTATTACTACTACAATGGATATAGAGACATCCAATATTGCTACTACAGGTAAGAATTTATAAATTCTATAGGACAGAGAACAGTTTACAAATACATATCATTATGTAACAGACTACATAAAATACTAGTAAGCAATTGTAAGAATGATAAAATATTTAAGTAAGGAATGAATAATGTACGAGAGAGAGAGAGAGAGAGAGAGAGAAATGCCAAAAAATTCCTTCTCAATCATATATTAAAAAGACAGAAATCACATTGGAAATAAAATGAAGAATGTTGCTATCATTTCTAATATCTATACTTGTTTATGTATGTAAGAAATGAACAAATATAAAATGTTCAATTGGTATTGCACTTGGAAAAATCTTTGTCGCATTATTTTTAGTCCATATTTAATTATACTTGGTGCTTCCTACGGATCTTTGATCGGGCTCGGTATTCTTGTAAGCCTTATCGTCTGCTGTTGTTGTATCCATAAGAAAAACAGGGAATGGAATGACGGAACATTCATTGTTCAAGCTGTGCCAGGAACAAGTAAAGTATTACTCTATGATGATCTTCCTGATTAGATCAGTAGCTACAGTGTAATGGGTTTCGTGAGTTTCTTAAGGTTTCCAAAAGAATATCAAATGCATTCTAGACAGTCACTTCTCTTAACCAGCAAGGTATATCAGAATGAAATAAGATAACGAACAGTATTCAATCTCGAAAGTCCAATGAAACGATACAAATCTGGAGCAGAGCAAACACGGACCTCAAAATTTAGAGGTGCCATGGAGGAGTGAGCATCCCCTGCTGACCGGTCACATCCACCGTGTGCTCCTTGTCATGATCGGGGGGAAAACGGAAAAACCGTAGACAGTTCAGTGTATAAATAATGGCCTAACAATTAGTATGAAAAACTTCAGTCAGCATTTGACTCAGTAATAGGTTGTATGTGCTGACAAGGTCATTGTATCAACCATAAAACTTGCGAAATGATGACTTCAAATGAGACTGTTGATATCCTTATTTCATCAACTTGTTTGTAAATAGCTTGTCTTGTTTTAAAAATTGTTCATACGTAGAGCATGCTCTTGCTTATCGAATCATCCGAGAGACATAAACCCCATGTGCAGGTGATAAAGGTATATTGCTACATAAGTAAGGGAAGTTAATGATTGAGAAGTTGAAGTCGTCATGTTTATCATAAAGCTTGGTTGTTAGGTTACCATTAACGTCTTTTTCTAGTAAAATATCTAAATATGAAACAGATGTGTCAGACTCTGTGGTATCTTTTATTTCAAGCTAACTGGGATATATCGAGTCGACATATGAATGGTAGTAACTATTGTTAATTGATCATACGTCGTCGATATATCGAAATGTCGAGTTGAAGGCCACAGCAAGTGTTTTCTTTTTCTCATTTAGAAGTTTTTAAATAAATTCTGCTTCATATGAATACAAAATAGGTCTGCTAATAAAGGGATGCAATTTGTACCCATAGGAATTCCAACAGAATATGACGTCAAGTCACTGTAAGTTAAAGCTATCATGATGTGGAATGTGTTAAAAACTTACTCCATGTTTTAAAAGCATGTAAAATTTAAAACTTTATTATTTAATAATTAAATGTTTAAGTTGTAATCTTAAGCTTAATGATTCTGTTAAATTATTAAATAATTAAAACACTACTTTGTTTCATTACCCTTGATTAAAATTTAGCCTGTTGAATACAATAACAATATGTTGACTTTGACATTTTCCTTGTTTCTGTCCGTATTAGAGGTAGAAATTGATATATGTGCATAAAAATGACTGGCGGAGACAAACAATAAATTATGACACAGTGGAAAAATACCTCAAATGTGCGGGTAAGATAAATATACTATTGATGTGATATTTTGTATATGAGTATTACTATGACTTTTCCTAAGCAACTTTCACTTACTCTAAGATAAGATGAGTCCATTTATATGACAAAATATAATTAATAATTGTGTTAATCACCTGCGCCAATGCTATTGATGTATAGCACTTGAAAATAAACACGTCATGTGATATCCTAACAAATGTGTTCTCATATGGCTGAAAGAACACGGAATCAATCGGTAGTAATCTGACAGTTACCAGAGTGTATAAATAGTGACTCATGAGGTTTTGCCCTAATTTGTTCAGTTTATCGATTGACTATTTGAATGAAGTAATAAGGACTAGGTTCTAGAACTTTATTTGGAAACAACAGAATACATATATTTAGTTAAACCCCACAGTCCTGGGGCCAAACTCCGTAATGTCTTAGTGAAATATGTCATTATGTCTCGGTTAGAAAGTGTCTCTGGGACTTAAAGTATGATAAATGTGTCTTGCAAACCTTTATTCCGAAGCATGCGCAATTTCACTTGTAGAAATATATTACATATAGATGAAATCCCTCGCAAGCACAGGGAATTAAATTTTGCCTCTGATAACGGAGCAATATTAATTTTAATAATATATTTCACATCTTATACTTTCTACTTTCATTTATTATTTATTTGATTGGTGAGAAGTAAGCATTTCTGATTGGTTGAAAAATGTCGTTGATGTCTCCATAAATAAAATTTAAAAAAATTACCCGGGACTACATTTTTTTTTATGTACATAATGACTGACTACATATTTCCCCTTCCAGAGTTTTTTGTAACAGAAAAATGAAATATTTTTACACTTTTTTCCTGAATTTCGAAACTCTGATACGTCAATGGGTTATTTTCTACTTTTGTTTCTTTTGAAATTATTCCCTTTCGCTAAAAATAGATTTTTCGTGACAATGACATTACGGGAAAGAAAATAAGAAATCATTATACAGATGTTAAATGCTTGCGTTTGAGAAAACTGGTATGAGCACTTTGAAGAAATGTTTTTATGTTGCCAAAGAGGGGAAATGTCGTGCATCTGTTTCATTCTCTGGAAATGCATGTATGGGAAAAACGACACTGAGCGAGGATGGAACCCTTTTAGTGTAAAACAATCGACAAGAGACTGTACAAGATTTTACAGCCAGGTGTTATGCATGGACAGGTTGTGATACGTTTATATGTTGGGTTTGAAATTCAAATGAAGGGATTAAAATGAAATCCAAAATATCGGTGTCCTAGAAAGAGTTGTCAGGGTTATTTGGAGTAGCTTCCCAAATGAAGGGATTCAAATGAAATCTAAACTTTCGGTGACCTAGAAAGAGTTGTCAGGGTTATTTGGAGTAGCTTCCCTTTTCATTAACGAATCTCAAAATATATGCTTACCGTGGAAAATTCGAAGTACATACATACCAATTGAGATATAACAGAAAATAATAACACAATTAGTAGGTCATTTTTGTGTTATTGTTAGAAATACATGTATCTGGTTATGATATGACGTTGTTTGTTCGTTTGTTCGTTATGTATTGCTCCGCGTATGAATATTTTGTTCAAAATATTTTTCGTCGTAAATTAACATACTTTGTCATGGTCATTTGCAAAATTATTTTGTTGAAAAACATTCTTATTGTACACACAAGTACTGAAGTTGATATTAAAAAATGCTTAAGGGGGGCCGATTGGGGTTTTCATTGCGCAATACTTCGCGCAGCATGGTAAAATAAAGCATATTCACTCTTTTAAAGCAACTATTTTTACTTAGTTTATAAAAATTAACAAATGTATGAAATCTAAGGTTAAAGAATCTAATTAGGTTTTTAAATAACTGATTTTTAAACGATTTTTCAAATGATGGGAAGATAGACGTCGTAATAGCGTGTTTTTGACGTTATGAATAACCGAAGTTCTTAAAGCGGGGTCATTAATTATGTCATGAAATAAAAAGTATAAAATAGATGCTCTTGAAATTTTAAACATAGGAAATTGAGCATCTTACAATCATTTTTATTATTTTTTATGTAAATCTGTGGTATCTGTCATATTTTGTTGTACTCCATAAAAACAGGAAAATATAATGATTTTTGACATTTTGAGATGCCCCCTCTCGAAACCAGACGGTAGAATTTTGTGTTTCTTACATAAAATCTACAATATAGTATTATCATTCAAATAATTTAATTTGAGCAAAAAGTCTATAGTAGCATTTGTATAATTTGCTCCGAAGTCCGAAAAAATGGTATTTTCCTATATAATCCTGTAGTAAATGTACCTGTATTTTGAGATGGTCCCTAAAAATAACCAGACGGTAGATGTTCCCTTAACTTGGCACATAAACTGAAGTCAATGTAAGATACATATGGTATAAAATTAAAGAGTTTCTCTATAGTAGTTTTCACACAATAAAACCCCAGTCGGCTCCCTAAAGTTTCTGATTGACATTATCTATGTAGTTTTTGGAGATCAAGTCTTCCAACAATCTGTTGGAATTTCCATGGGCACCAATTGCGCCCCGTTATTAGCAGACCAATTTTTGTATTTATATGAAGCAGAATTTATTCAAAAACTTCTACATGAGAAGAAGAAAACGCTTGCTGTTGCCCTCAAGTCGATATTTAGAGATATGGACAACATATTTTCAATTAACAATAGGTACTTTCATTCATATATCGATTCGATATATCCTAATGAAGTTGAAATATTAGACACCACAGAGTATAAAACTTGCTTCATATTTGGATATTTTACTAGAAAAAGACGTTACAACGAAGCTTTATGAAAGACATGATGACTTCAACTTTTCTATCGTCAATTTCTCTTACTTATATAGCAATATGAAAATACTCATCACCTGCATATAGGGTTTATATCTCCCAGTTGATTTGATACACAAGAGCGCATGCTCTACGTATGATCAATTTTTAGTACGAGACAAGCTATTAATCAACACATGGCACCTGGCTCCGGGGCCATAAAACTTAGATGAGCTCACTTTTGATCTCAGTCTCACTTTTGCCAAAGAAATTAATAGTAGAAAAGTGAGACTGAGATCAAAGGTGAGCTCATCTAAGTTTTATGGCCCCGGAGCCTGATCCCACCTCTGATGTTTGGAGGTCAGTGTTTGCTCTGCTCCTATTCTGTATTGTATAATGGACTTTTGAGCTTGAATACTGTTCGTAATCTCCATATATTTCATTGATGAAACAAGGATATCAACAGTGTCATTCCGCAAGTTCTTTAATTTGGTCGCTACAATGATCTTGTCAGCAAATACAATCTATCATTAAGTCAAATGCTAACTGACGTTCTTTCATACTAATTGTTAGACCATTATTTACACAGTGAAATTTCTATGGATTTTGCCATTTACCCGATCATGATAAGGAGCACAGGGCGGGTGTGACCGGTCGATAGGGGATGCTTACTCCTCAGTGGCACATGATCCCGCCTCTGATGTTTTTGGAAGTCCGTGTTTGCTCTGCTCCTGATTTGTATTGTTTAAATGGACTATGAGTTTGAATACTGTTTGTAATCTCCATATTTCATACACAAGATACGATGCCATACACGGATTATGGAATATAATAGAACTGTCATGAATATCTTTATATATACTGATATTACCCTTAATCATGCATGTATTTATTTATTTATTTCAATTTTAATAACAGCAAAACACAAGTAAGTAATTAACATTCAATTTAATGTGTCTTCCCATTTCGAGAAGACTTATTAGTTATGGCGTGAATGTCTGTCAATTTTTTTGTCTCTGGAAACCTTGATTGAAATGGTTTAGAACTTCGGTGTTTTTTTTTTTTTTTGGTTGATTAATCAATTATATGACATGATCTATAGTCAAAATCCTAATTGAAGGACATCACTTGAATATGTAAAATCGTGAAGTCTTGACGTAATTTTCACACCCTTGATTTGGATTACCTACCGGGGGATGATGATTAAACTCCTCTAGGTCAATCCACAATGTAGTGTTTGACAAATGAATACATGTATTTTGTAAGATGGGACACGTTTTTGTTCAACCTCCCTTCAAAATAAGTGAAATATAGTCTGTTTTGGAAAAAAAAAACCATGACATTTCCAGGCCTTGTTAATTCATTCTATTCAGTTTTATTTTTAATTCAGCTATTTTATTTTTCGTCAAACAGATAACCCAGGTGCTTTTCCATCTGGAAATTACCCGATCCAGCAACCTTTGATGGCTAGTGCACAGGGCATTCAAAACCCTTATATCATGATGGGACAGACACATTATGGAAGTTCCCAAAGGCAAGAAACAGTACCTGTAAATTTCCAAACAACAAGTTTGGGTGCTGGAGCAAATCCTGCAGGGACAGTCCAGCCAGAGAGCAAATAAAAAGAAAATGCGAATAACTTATTTAATATTTAGTTAGATTTTATTCTTTTGAAGATGAGAGGTATCCCGATAGAGATTTGTTTATTAAATAGTGCAGTATAGCAATATATGCCTTCGAATTCATGTAAAAGGTGTAGGGTGTATGTAAAATTGCACAACAACACACACACACACCCTCACACACACACACACACACACACCCACGCACACACACCCTCACACACACACACACACACACACACACACACACACACCCTCACACACACACCCTCACACACACACACACACACACACACACACACACACACACACACACACATATATATATATATATATATATATATATATATATATATATATATATATATATATATATATATATATATATATATATATATATATATATATATATATATATATATATATATATATAGATATATAGGTACATATATATAGAGAGAGAGAGAGAGAGAGAGAGAGAGAGAGAGAGAGAGAGAGAGAGAGAGAGAGAGAGAGAGAGAGATATCCAAGAATAATAACAGAGGTCGGTGATTATTATGAAAAATATTCAAACACAGAAGGAGTAAAACATAAGCGCTTTCATTTCTTCTTCATGATGTATTCATGGTAATGTTTATTGTTACGTCATAATAATTTTGACATGTCTCCGAATGACGTCATATATTCCCGTACTTTTGGCAAAATAATACAATAACAAAGAAATAAATGTGACTCAGTAAAATACTCTATGTGTATAAAATACATTTCTTTTACATTAAACTCTTTAATTTAGGTTTGTTTGTGTTTTTGTATATTTTTTAACGTCCCTATCGAGAATTTGTCACTCATATGAAGACGCCACCACTTAATATAAGGAATGTTTTTAAGTTTTGTGTGAGTTATTGGTGTGTAAATCACACAGACCTGTCACGTAGGTATCACAGGATTAGTATTTACTATTTATTATACTTTCATGTTAAATACTAAAATCTGATTGGTTTAGACGCATTTAACAATCCGTAATGTTACCTTCAGCGTTAGCAACACACTTGACAACGGGTAACATTACGAAAATGTCACATGCGTTCAAATCATGCGCGTACGGTTCACCGTAGAATTCTCAAAACGTCGGTTGTGCGTTTGAAAGAAGCCGAATAAACGACGTCAATAAAAGCTTGCGTCCGATGTAGCTTACTTGAAAACAACAAACGACAGACGAAACATCCTTGCGAGTGCAAACTTTAGATAATAAAGGACTTTTTGAGTAGCAAACAAACAATAAAGAGGTTGGTAAATCTTTTCCGAAGCTTTCTTATTGAGAAAATAGAAGCGGGGAGTTTGAAAGCTTTCTATATGTGAACTTAACGACGATCTCCGAATTTTTTTTATGACATCCGAAATCAATTAGACATTCAGTATAATAAAATAAATAGTGCATGTCTTTGAGGGTAACAGTTGAAATTGACACCCCTCGGAAAACCATTGTCAACCTCCGCTGACGCGTCGGTTGACAATGGTTTTCCTTGGGGTGTCAATTTCAACTGTTACCCTCAAAAACGTGCACTATTTATATAATGTTACTATGTATGATAATTTGCGCATGCGTCATCTCATTCATTCATTCATTCATGGTTTGTAAGTTCATGACCTCTGATGTCATACGGTGAGTATGGGATGTGTATGGGTGTGTTTGACTGGTTTTTACCAGTCATTGCGCATGGCTGGCGCGAATTTTATTAACCTTTGCATGCAGTAATATTATTTTAAATCACTTTACATGCTTTATGAAAACCCTCTGATATAGACGGACGTTACGAGGACTGTCATTGTCCGTAACATAGCCTCAAAAAATTTTAGGAGCTTAAAATTCTGTCTACATGGTAAGATATTTTAATTAAACTATTTTATAATTTCAGTAAATTAATTTATGAATTAAATATTTGATATAAATTTCATTTAAATATTTAATGTGTGAATGGACGGAACGTAAGTTTTCATATTTATTGTAGATCGCCATGTCATTGATGATATAACATAAATACTTCATCAAATACCATCATGTTGATGGAAGATAAATAAATTACATTGAAGAGTTGTCCGGAGTTTTCTCTTATCCAAAAACTGTTAATTAAAAAAGTTAACACCCATGACATAGGCATATTTCATGAAGCGCTAGCGCTTCATGAAAAATATGCCTACGCGCAAGTCTGTGTGATTTACACACCAATAATTCACACTAAACTTAAAAAACATTCCTTATATTTACATTTTACAAGTTTAAAAGCACCAATAATCTATTCAATATTTGAATTTCTTGTTGCCCTATATCGTTACATTTTTTTACGTCTCTGTAGCCGCATTGAGACGTCACTTTAGCGCGAGTTTCACCGTGTATATTTCTACGCGTGAGTATACACAAAAATGACTTTCAAATCAATTTCACAGTTGGCTTAGTAGAAAAATACAGCAAATTTTGTCCTATACTCGGCACTTACGGCCATTGAGCAGTGAGGGATCTTTTTCGTGCCAGCACCTACTGCAACACGGGACCTCGGTTTATACGGTCTCATCCGAAGGACCGGTCTCCACGTCCCACTGTGTGATTCGAACCCGCGACGTAAGGATCAACTCCTAACTTCGCGACTCTAGGACAGACGCTCTAACCACTGCGCCACGCGGGCTACTAATTTAGGTTTGAAAGTTCTTATAAAAAGTTTTTCTTTATCTCCGCTTTCGATTGCATTAGAGTTGTACAATTTATAAAATGGAAAGACGGTAAAAGTTTTAATTCCGCATAAGTCTAGGTGTTCACTGACTTTAAGTTTACAATATTCACGTTAATTTGTTGTTTATGGACTCGAATCCTTTTCCGCAAAATACTTTCCGCCTCTCCGATATATAATTCCCCGCAACCAGAACATGTTATAACGTATATGACATTTATAGTTAGGCATGTTATTTTATTATTAACGGTAAACTATTAAAATGTAAAACTACTGTTAAAAAACTTTAAAAAATTAAAATACTGTGCTTCTTGTATGTATGGACAGGGTACCACAATGCGGATCCTGGTATTTGGTCACATGAAATTCTGTCGTTTCTTGAAAAAAGAACTTAGTGAGAATTCGTCTAAGATTCTTCGGCTGCCTTCTACTGTTAATGAATTTTCGATTTTTAAATATACATAGTTTCATCGGTTTTCAAAACGTCGTTTAGGTGATAAACAATTGGTGCAACGTTTTTATTTTGGGGATTATGTGTCGTTATTAATGGTAGGATCTTGGAATTTGTCCTGTTTTGTTGCACAAGGTTGAGGAGGTCCTTTCTGTCTAATTCTTAGATATTCTTTCAATTCCTGTGATCTTTGTATCCTGATTGATTTATTATTAACGATGGTGTATATTCTTCTAGCTAAATTAAAAGGTATAGCTCTTTTTATATGTCGTGGATGGCACGAATTAAAATGAAGATACTGGTGCGTATCTGTAGGTTTGTGTAACAGATATCTGTCAAAATGACGTCGTTTTCCATAATTAACAAAATATCCTGAAATGGAATGCTATCTGTACTTTCTTCCACTGTGAATCTTATATCAGGATGAAGTTCGTTGCTGAATTTCCATACAATAAAACAATTGTCAAGATATCTTTTCCAGTTATTAGTAATATAATACTTTACCTCTTCGTTGAATTGTTCTCCCACTTTCTGATACATTTTCTCTTAAGTATCCTAATGTTAAATTGGCATACATGTATGTCGGAGCCAATTTCGTGCCCATATCCATTCCTTTCATTTGTTTTAAATGTTTTCTATTAACGTGAAAGTATTATTTGTCAGCAGGCAAGGCAATGGAGAATAAGGTAGCGCCAACATATGCAACCTTAACTTTAGGCTACCTAGAAGTCATCATTTCGCAATTTCCTAGAAACGATTCTAAAAAGTGAACTTATCACGGTTTGGAGAGAGGAAATTGCTAACCTGATAGAAGCAACTGGAAAATTTTTCTCGACGACTGCTTCTTTAAATGGCACGACGATATAGATAATTTAACCCAATTTCACAGAATACTAAATGGGTTAATACCAATATTCAATTCACTTTAGAGACGAATAAAGAAAAAAATCCATTTTTTGACGTGTTGGTGAAAAAACAGAACACATGGATAACCACAGATATTTATGATAAAGTCACAAATACACATTAGTATTTATACTTTGGTTCATGGCATCCAAACAATACCAAGAGAGCGATAATCTACAACCTGGCTAGAAGAGTTTGTGCTATAGTAAGTGAGAAAAATACAAGGATTTTACGCGTAGAAGAGTCAAAGCGTTTCTTGTAAAACGTGAATACCCAAAAACGACTAGTGGACAATGGCATAAAAAATGTAAAATCATATGACAGAGCACAATTAGTTACGGCACGTGACAACCAGGAAGAAAAACAAATAATCCCTTTTTTCCATACCCATAATCCACGAAATCAAAACTTAACACCAGTGGTGAAGCAATGAAGCAATGAAACAGGATACTTAAGGATGATGAAGACACAAAAGCAATTTACGGAAATGCTCAATTTATAAACAATAAACGTCAGGCTAAAACATGAAGAGAATTCGTTCCACATACGATTTCAAGGAAAGGAACTGTTCCGTTGCCAAATGCAATTACCCGAGATTCGGCACTTGCAGGCATATTAGGAGGGAACCAGAAACGGTTTCCAGGGACGACATTTCAATGTCAATGCAGATACGTCTTGCGAAGCAAAGAATGTAATCTATGTTATAACTTGCACCACAAGCACCACACTGAGAGCTTGGACACGGGTCCACAAACAGCAAATAAATAATCCGGAATGTAGACAAATTCAATGAAGTGAACATTTATATGTATGCGGGAAAAGACAATTTACTGATTTCCCTTTTATAAGAAGATGGTTACACTGTAGAAACCACATCCAATGAAAAGAAAAAGGGAAACGCTTTTGTGATACCAAGATTTTATTCT